GTGGCTTGGAGAGAACCCAGGACTCAGGGCATAAAAACCCTTGTAGCCTCTGGAATGTGTCCAGACTCTCTGGCCCCTTGCTCCTTGCTCTCCCAAGATCATAAATTGATTGTATCTCAAGTTAGAAGAACCTGTTCTCCCTTATCTCAAGTAGTGGAGCATATGCTAAACCATCACAGCTACACTTGATGCACCGCTACCTTTCTATCCTCACGTCCTCACCTGTCCACCCTTACATCCGCATGTCCTCACCATCTGCTTCTTTGTTTGATTACCAACAAATAGTGTTGGCTTCTAGAGCTCGGGGCCTTCGCAGCCTCCAAACTGGCATTGGCCCCCTGGACCCACCCTATGTACTCTTAACTTTTCTTGTCTCATTCCTTTGACTCCGCCAGACTTTGTAGCCCCCACGACCTGGTGTTGGGTCTGATCACCCCAACATTATGTGTCTGTGGGAGCTGTAGTGCTGCATCCTTTTTCATTCCTAATATTGGCAATTTACGACTTGTTTTTCTTGGTCAGTTTTGCTAGAGTTTTTTTCTTTTTCTTTTATAAATCTTTTCAAAGAACCAGATTTTGACTTTGCCAGTTTTCTCTATTCATCTATTTTCTAGTTTATTAATTTCTGTTTTTTATTATTCCATTCAAGTTATTTTAGGGCTAGTTGCTTATCTGTTTTTAGCTCCTTGGGGCATAAACTTAGGGTCTTGATTTTAAGCCTTTCTTTCGCATATGGGCATCTGATGATACTACCTCATTTGTATTATTATTCAGTTGTAAATGTTTCTTTCTTTTTTTTTTGAGACAGAGTCTTGCTCTGTCCCCTAGGCTGGAGTGCAGTGGTGCTGTCTCAGCTCACTGCAAACTCTGCCTCCCAGGTTCAAGAGATTCTTGTGCCTCAGCCTCCCAAATAGCTGGGATTACAGGGATGCGCCACCACACCCAGCCAATTTTTGTATTTTTAGTAGAGATGAGGTTTTGCCCTGTTGGCCAGGCTGATCTTGAACTCCTGGCCTCAAATGATTCACCCACCTTGGCCTCCCAAAGTTCTGGGATTACAGATGTGAGCCACCATGCCCAGCTCTTGTTATAACTTCTTTTACTCATGGTCACTTTGAAGTTTGTGTTTAATTTCCATATATTCAGAGCTTCTCTGGATATCTTTAAAAATTGATATCTAATTTAATTCTATTGTGCTCAGAGAAGATACACTGTAAGCTTTCAATCTTTGGGAATTTGCTGAGACTTGTTTCATGACCCAGAATATGGTCAGTCTTACTGAGTGTTCCTTGAAGACTTGACAATAATGTTTATTCTTCTTTTGTTGGGGGTAGTGTTCTATAAATATGAATTAGTTCAAAGCAATTGATAGCATTGTTGTGATCTTTTGCAGGCTATTTGTTCTATCAATTATTGAAGGTAGAGGGTTAAAATCTCCACTTACAATTTTGGATTTGTCTATTTCAATTTTAGTTCTGTTAAATTATTTTGTCATGTGTTTGAAGTTCTGTTAAGTTCTGTTATAATAACTATAAATTTCACATTTATAACTATTATAAATGTGTAACATTTTATCACATTTATAATTGTTACAACTTCCTGATTAATTGACCACTTTATCATTATGAAATTCCCTTTTTACTTCTAACAATACCCTCTTGTTTTGAAGTCTATTTTTGCTGACAGTAATATAGCCTTTCCTTTCTGAGTCATTATTCTTAAATTTTGCATTTTGCATCTTTCCCCACCATTTTACCTCCAATGTATTTGTTTCTTGGATTGAAATTTCTTGTCTTTATAGTTGGCATATAATACAAATTTACTTTTCTAAGTCTGACAACTCTGCCTATTAATTGGAATGCATAGACTGTTTACATTTACTGTAAGTATTTGTATGGTTGAATTTACCTCTACTAAATTTTGCTTTTTGTTTTCTATTTGCTTCAGTGCTTTTTCCTTCCTCTCCTCTTCCATGCTCACCTGCTTGTTGGGTAATGGTATATTTTTTAGTATTCTATTTTAATTTCTCAATTGGCATTTCAGCTTTACCTTGTTGCATTACAATTCTAGTGGTTGTTCTAGGTTTCAGTGTGCATCTTCAGCTTATCACAATCTACTTAGACTTTTCCTACAGAAACATTGCAAAAGTGTGGTGTAATTTAACCTCTCACCTATTTTTTGTACTGTTGTTGTATGAGATATTTATATATATGCACACACACATAATATGTATTAATAGTAAAATATATGGTATCTATTAATATGCATATTGAGCCCCACAATGCAGTGTTATAGTTTTTACTTTTAAAATTTAAGAAAAAATATTTACAGTGTTTTATATTTACCCACATACTCATCATCTTCAGGCTTGTTATTCCCTTTTACAGATATAAATTACTATCTGGGATTATTTCTCTTCAGCCTGAAGAAATTTATTTAGTATTTCTTCAAGTTCAGGTCTGCTTATGACATATTCTCTCAGTCTTTGTTTATCTAAAAATGTCCTTATTTCATCTTTGTTTTTAAAGGACAGTTTCACTGGGTACACAATTGTGTTTATAGTTTTGCTTTTCTTTTGGAAGTTATTTCATTATCTCCTACTCTCCAATGTTTCTTATAAGAAGCCAGTCATCATTTGAATCTTTGTTTCTCTATATGTAATGTGTTATTTATCTCAGGCTGATTTTACTAGATTCCTTTTTAATCTTTGATATTTTTTCAGCACAGCAATAATATTCCTAAGTTGGTTTTCATTGTGTTCTTCATGCTTGGAGTTTGTAAGTTTCTTGAAACTCTTTTTCACTAAATTTTGAGAAATTATGATGTTCTTATCTGCTAATTTCAATATCTATGTTATTTTCTGAGTCTATTTCCTTTCTCTTTTTTAATGGGACAGAAGTTTAATTTTCTCTCACATAAAATAGGTTTAATGAGTAGGCTTTCTAGGGTTAGTATGACAACTGTGAAGTCAGAGACCTACCCAGATTATTTTCTGAATCTGATTTTAGTGACTGTTTTCTCTCCTGGTTAAATGGCACATTTTTCTGCTTCTTTATATGTCTAGTAATTTTTTATTATGTGCTAGACATGTTAGAGGCCACTTGAATGCCACTTGAGAATCCGGATTTTTTTTCTTTAAAGAGTTTGATTTTTGTTTTGGCAGGCCACTAATTTACTGATAGATCACTTTGATCCTGTTGAGGCTCACTTTTTAAGGGTCTAAAGAGGACTTACTCTGGGATCAAGCAGTTCTAACTTATGGTGTTTCCAGGGTCTCAACTGAATTCCTGGGTTATCTGCAAGGTTGCTTCATTATTTCTGATAAAACCCTAACATCTTCCAACACTATATGGCCTACATAATTTCCATTCAGCTTAGAGCCCCTCTGCAACTATTCTCACCAGGTCTTACGAGCCTTGCTCTAAACATATGTAGCTGATCCCTCAGTCAAACTCAAGAGGACCCAGCCACTACAGCAGCACCAAACTCCAAATTCTGTCATCTCTGCCTATCAGCAGGGATGCTGTAACTAAGCTCCACTAACCTATGCCATAGTTTGAAAAGGGCTTTTGGGTAGAAAGCCAGGTGGTGGTGCGGCTCACTTTGAGTAAGTCCCTTCTTTCAAAGATCACATTGTTCTTTCTGTTATCCTGTTACCTGTTCTGTCTGTTATCCAGTTACCCAAACAAATTAATTCTTTTATTATAATCAGTTCTATGTTTGTTTGAAGAAGAAGAGCAAGTACAATCTCACTCTCTTCTATTGTGGTTAAAATCAGAAACCTGAACTATTTCTTCCTACTTCATAGAATATTCCAACACGTTTGTTGCTTAGACTGCAATAGATTTGAGGCAGTAAACAAAGGTGAAAGATATAGACATTATATTGATAGCTTGACAGTCAGAGAAGATAGAACAATTATACAAAGCAGTCATAAACACTAGTCGTGATTTAATGTGGAAGCAAACAAGCATACGCATCTTAACACCTGATAGCAACTCTGTCTTGTCGTGGTGTTGTGATTTGCATGATGATGGACTTTAAGTCAGGAAGAACATCTTAAGTCTACTTAGGAAAGAAAGGTGTAGGTATTGCATCTTAGAAATGGTAGAGTTATGTTACCTAAAAGCAGGATCATGAGACTGTTTAAATCCGGGGGGATTTATAACATGGCAGTACATCCTGAAAGGGTAAATATGAGTCATCTAGAAGAGTTGCTTCTGCAAGTTAGTTCCTGCTTTCTCTGAAGATATTAGATAACTGGAAAGTTACTGTAAAAAGTGTTAATACTGCAAATGACAAAGAGTAAATGGGATGTCTGTACTTGGCATTGCTGAGCATTTAGGCTTCCTTTCCTTGAAGCCCAAACCTTGTTACCATGGGATGTTTGGGTGCCAATAGGTCAAGAGTATATCATGTAAAAGAGCAGGCAGGGAGGAATGAGGGGGGAGAGAGAGAGCGAGAGAGAGAGAGAGTGCAACATTTTTTATTTATTTGTATGCATTTTCTAAATCATTCAGTAGTATTGAATGCCACCTACAAAACACTTCAGCTCATTTCTAAGAATTAACCAGAAAATGCTTTGCTTCTTTGAACCTGAAATTTTTATTAAACCTTGAATCTTAATACTGTCTACCCTTAGAATTCCTTCCTCTGCCTACCCTGACTTCTGCCCTGATGCAGCTTCCTCTACAGTATATCAACCAGCACTTAGGAAGCACACACATTGCATCCATCAGCATTGCTTCTGAGAAGCTGGGCCAACCCCATCCTCCTTCCTCAGGGACAGGTTGACCCCTATATTCCCGTCATGGACTAACTTTGCTTTCCTTTCAATCAATGGTAATACTCGTTAGGCAGAGTGGATTTGATACACATGTAACAGCAAATCCTCTACAAGAGAATTTTTTTCTCCATGTGTTGTTTTTATTTTGACTGTTGATTACCAGTTCTTTCATGCTATTAAACAAGGTTTATATCCTTTCTTCTTCCTTTTATAGGAAAACCTGGGTCTATTTTCCGCAGACCCAACCTCCAATAGCTGGAAGACATATGTTAACTCTATTGACAACATGTTGCTGAATGGATTCTTTCTTGCCATTGAGTGCTCCCTCAAGTATCTCCTGGAAAATACTGGTACTTACTGGCTTATGGATGTGGGTTATTATTGGAAAGATAATGACAGTAACATTTGTTGAATTATATTGAAGAGCAGCTGAGTGCTCTGTGACTTTTCCCAAAACGTTGTAGACTTTTTGTGAATGATGCACAGGAAAATAGAAAAGGTACCGAACTTCTAAATTGTTCAAAGACAAAGATTTCTGATGCTTAAAATTAGATAATAAACCAGGCTGTAAGATAGTGACGCACATAGCAAAAGCATAAAAGCGAATTCACTCGAAATCAAGCTTCAGTAAAGAGGAGTGACCAAGTTAACAAGCAGGAAGCACTGTTAGTAATGAAGGCAGAAGGCTTCATCCAAGCTTGACTTATGGCAATGGGTGGGGGACATTCTGTGCCTTCAAGCTTCATGTACTTTATCTCTGTAGCCTTTTGAGAACACAAGGAGATTGTGTCCACCAGGTTAAATGGAAGAAACAGAAGTTTTTCTGAGTAAAAGAGTCACACAAGAAGTAAGGGAGGAGGTAATTTTCAGAAGAAAAAGAAATGTGTAGAACAGAATGGGCATTCTTTGAAGCTTTTAAAAAATAGTTAAAGGCTTTGAATTTGTAGTGGATAAACTGGGATAAGGTACACAGAGTGAAAGATACAGAAAGGGCTAACCTTGACTAGTAAATGATGAGATCGACAGGGCAGAAGAGTTCAGGACTAAAAGTTGAATTAAACTTTCACATTCTGGCAGATTCTGAGTTGCTTAGCAAAGAGCCTATAGAAGGATTTGTCAAGATGGAAAGGCAGAGGTAAATATTTTGAAGCTAGAGGATGGAAGTAAGATGAGAGTTTTTAAAACTCAAGGATCGAAATGAAATACTGATGTAAAATAAATAGTCCAAGGCCAGTGTCCAGATATCCAGCCCATAAAAGAGACTACCTGCAGACACCTAGGTTGAGAATCCAGAGAGAAGCAAGGCCCAACGCTGAGTGTAGCCCCAATGGCCATCCCCATGGTCTTGATAGGTAGAATGAGTGAGGTGTGAGGCATGGTCTTTGCTTGCAGGATACAGGGGTGCTCCAAACTAAGGAAATCAACAATAGGACTCAGGAAACCCAGCATAGTTAGCAACGTAGGAGATCATCTTCTGGAGCCTGGGAGCAACAAGCCAATGGGGCATGGAATACGGGCACCAAGTCTGCACAACTGGCTCCTATGGACCAGCACTGGTGGTGTTCACCTTAGTGAACTGACCAAGCCTCCTCTAACGCTGGAGGTTCGGGGGCTTCATCACTAAGCTCTCCGTGGAGAATCTAGGAAGACACCCCAGCCATACTTGGGTGCAGGCAATGCACTAGAAATGGTGCCTAAATGACTCCATCCTTGACCATTGGCTCTCTGGGTCTCCTGATCTGGGCTATCTCATGTGCCATGTGCCCACCTGTGGGAAGGACAGAGTGGGACCAGGGGATGGAGAAAAGAGATGGCAGTCTTTCTCCAAGATTATCAAAGTTTCCTTCCCTTTGTGGAAATAGGAGGACAGAGGAACACATTTTCTTCACAACATAGAGGCCCTTCAAATTCTCCTTTGAAAGGGCAGGAGCTGAATTTATCAGCTGCCTGATCTGAAGCACTATAGATAAAATTTAAAAGACACTGGTTATCTAAGGGGAAGTAAAGGAGCCTAAAGGGGCCTCTGAGAAGAAAATCATGGTGACCCCTTGCAGTGGCTCAGTTAAGTGGCTTTTTCATCCTAGGTCCACCTTACCATTTTGTCTACTTGTGTCAATAAATGAGGATAAGGCCCTGGAAAATGGTAGCGTCACAGGATGGAAGGAACCTATCCACCAAACTGGAACATTCACCTTGGACTGTTAACCTGCAGGAGAGTAGACTTCTTTGACCTTTGGAGTCCAGAGCAGAGCAGGGGTTTCTATGACATTGTTGAGGGCATTCCCAAGGTTTGGGTTGGTCTCCCTGTCATCTCTCAACCCAAACCCTGCATAGGTTATATGCTTCCCACTCAATGGAGAAATGTCCCTCCTCCTTTTACCTAGTAAAATGATTTACATGCACCAAGATTGTGGAACCAGGACAATCTGCTTTGGATGATAATTACATTGGTGTTACATCCAGTGTAGAGATTACAGTTCCATGTCAACATATGGGGCAAAAAATCTCATATAGTTAAAACATTCTTTCAAGTCTTTTGAATTCTGTAAACCATATGCAACCTTATCTATTAATTTATAAGTACATAATATGTATATTAATGCAGAATATGTCATGAGTACATATAGCAAATTATAGGTGATTTTATAAGCTATATTATTTTATAAACTTATAGTAGTTTTTATAAACTATACCATTTTATAAACTTATAGTAGTATAATTACTTTGTTATTGGTAAACTTATGTTCCCTTAAGTTAAATATTGGGAGTCTGCTGAGTCCAATCTTGTGTTCCCTTAAGTTAAATATTGGGACTCTCCCGAGTCCAATCTTGTGTTCCCTTAAGTTAAATATTGGGACTCTCCTGAGTCCAGTAATGTGAATTTGTCATCCCTCCAGTTCTGAAGGCAAGCCCTATTCTTACATATTTTGAGTATACTGCAGTATTTTACTTAGGGTGAATGGCTAAGCTGTGGTAACAAAAACACCATCAACAATATGGTTTCAAGGACAGAGAAGTCTACCCCTGAAAGAAAGAGTCGAAGGTGAGTGTTCCAGTTTGGTGGGTAGGTTCCTTCTGTCCTGTGGCTCCACCATTTCTCATTTCTGTGGTTGAGCTGACTCACTGCCATGTCCAGGCTATAGTCTGGTAGAGGAGAAAGAGACTGAGTACAGAGAAGGGTCACCTGCAGTCTCAAGAGTCCCAGCCCACGAGTGGCACCATCATGTTGTCCTACATCCACTGGTGAGGAAATTTCATTGCCACACCTGTCTGCAAGCAGGGCTGGGAAATCTGGTCAAATCCCAGTTATTACTCTATTTCAAGGGAAGAAGACAACAATGGATTTCAGTGAACAGTCTCTGCCACCCACAGTATTCAGCCCATAACAGGCTCCTAAATATAACTACAATTGAAAAGTCATATAAAAATAAGTGGTTATCGATAAAAATTTCAAGCATATATCTTGTACCTGGAACATCTTGCTCTGCGTTGTATTTTGATTTAAATTTAGCAAGGCAAGTTGACCTAGTAAGTAATCAGAGATTTGTTAATTATTCATACTGTTTTTAAAATTTTTATCACTACAGGACCACAGCAATAAATTAAGTTATTTCTTAGAAAAGGATAAGGAGCAGAATAGGCAGAATTGTAATTTCTCTTTGTGGTTCATGTCTGTACATCGTTGACAAGCCTGCCCCCGTTCACCTAGAGTGATCAGTGGAATGACATGGCTTGTGCCTAGGAAGAAATCAGCTGCTTCCAAGAAATGGGCTTTGAAAAATCAACCTCTTCTCGGCTGGGCACGGTGGCTCATGCCTGTAATCCCAGCACTTTGGGAGGCTGAGGTGGGTGAATCACGAAGTCAGGAGTTTGAGACCAGCCTGGCCAACATGGTGAAACCCCATTTCTACTAAAAATACAAAAATTAGCCAGGCGCAGTGGCACGTGCCTGTAGTCCCGGGTACTCAGGAGGCTGTGGCAGAAGAATCGCTTGAACCCAGGGGGTGGAGGTTGCAGTGAGCTGAGATTGTGCCACTGCACTCCAGCCTGGGTGACAGAGCCAGACTGCATCTCAAAAAAAAAAAAAAAAATCAATCTCTTCTCAACCAGAGGCTGGACTGTCGCCCAAGAGGCATTTGAGGATGTGGAAGGGGAGAGGCTTGGGCTGATCTGTCACTAGGATGTGCTCCGTGAAGACAAGCAAAGTAAATATCCTGGAGTACCCAGGAGAGCCCTGCACCAGAATTGGCCTATTCAAATGTCAGTGGTTCCCCCATTGAGAAGCACTGCAAGACTATCACCCTCACATTGTATGGGATGTAAACAAATTTTACATTTCCGTTTTCCTACAGTCTAGCAACTTATCTAAAGGAAAGCATTGGTCTGGATGCTTTTAAAACAGTCCTCTACTTTGTCCATTTTATCCACTCTTTGTTTTGTTTGCTTGTTTTCCGTGTTTTTCAGAGTGTAAGGCAGGACTTACCCCAATATTTGAAGCACAACTGAGTCTAGCCATCCCAGACCTAGTTTTCTATCCGTCTCTGGAGTCTGGCGTGAAGGGGGGTTTCTATGACATTGTTGAGGGTCTCATCACCAGCATTTTTAGGATATCATCTCTGGTGCCACGGCTTTCCCCACAAAACGGCTCTCCTCACTATCAGGTACTGGAGCTGCAGCCATCCTGCCCTCCAACTGTGTCCTCTCCAGCTGAATCTCGAACTTCCTGCCACGCACTGGTATAACCTGCCTGCCATTGTCTCGCTTCCGCAGGTCGACCTGGACGGTATGCCAGATTTGGCAAACCTGCGGCAAACGCTCATGGAGAGAGTCCAGAGAATGATGGGCCTCTGCTGTGGCTATCGGAGCACCTTCAGCCAGTATTCACACCTCTATGTGGAGGACCAGAAGGAGGTTCTGGGTCAGTTTCTGCTGTACGGGCACATCCTCACTCTGGAGGAAACTGAAGACCATGTGGAAGACGGTATCCCAGAGAACCCTCCCCTCCTTTCTCAGTTTAAAGTGCAAATCGACTCCTACGAAACGCTCTATGAAGAGGTGTGCAGGCTGGAGCCCATCAAGGTGTTTGACAGCTGGATGAAAATTGATATTCGACCCTTTAAGGCATCCCTGCTGAATATTATTAAGAGGTGGAGCCTCCTGTTCAAACAGCATCTTGTGGACCACGTCACTCAGAGGTACGACAGTTGTTTTCACTTTCTTCCAGCATGCTAGGCTGCGAGGAACACCATGTTTTTAACCTTTTTTATATTTTTTCCCTATGGATATGTTGGTTAAATTAAAAATTAAGACAGCTGGTTAGAGGTTCTAGACTTGCAGACATCATGGTAACTTAAGTCCTGCCCTTTTCTTTGTTCACCAGAGAAGCCCTCTTTGTTTTGTTTTCCGTTTGACATCCAGTGTGTGAAAGGCAAGTGGTTAATGGTAAGGAATATTAGAGACAATAATAGGAGGTCCAAGCTCCCTTCACAGCTCCATGCCATCTCTTTAAACTTGGGAAGCAGAGGGTATCTGATGGGCCTCTTTGTTTTACTTCTACCTCTTACTCCTTGTCTCAGATTATCCAGCTGGGCAATGTGGACGTCACTAAAACCCTGTGCTCCTCACTGCCTGTCTGTGCCATTCTCACCATGCAACAGGCTGGATATGAAATTCTGTCTGTCCTACTGTGACCTAGACCACCCAGCCCAGCACTAGGCTCTCTAAGCCAGAGCATCATCCTCTGAATGAACAATCCATGGTCAACAGTCCCCTGGTCACTTTACCTTGAACTGGTCCCCAGAGACACACCACAATTAGAATCTTGACCCCCCATCTCAGAATCCCACTGGGGACCACCAGTCCCTCCGCACAGTGCTCGCCCTTTGGAGTGCTGGACGACACTGCAGGGAGGTCAGCCTGACCCCTCCTCAGTTTAGTGCTGGTTTTGCTTAATGCTGCCAAGGCCTTGCTCCATGATCTGGAGCCATAGGCAGAAAGAAAATGACAACATCAAGAATTTTATCTATCTACAAATAAACTTTAAGAGACTTTCCAAGGGCAATGTTTGACTACCCTAGGAAACCCCAAGAACGCTCTGTGGGAATTTTTTTTTTTTTTTTGAGATGGAGTTTTGCTCTCGTTGCCAAGGCTGGAGTGCAATGGTGTGATCTTGGCTCACCGCAACCTCTGCCTCCCGGGTTCAAGCGATTCTCCTACCTCAGCGTCCTGAGTAGCTGGGTTTACAGGCATGTGCCACCATGCCTGGCTAATTTTGTACTTTTAGTAGAGAAGAGGTTTCTCTGTTGATCAGGCTGCTATCGAACTCCTGACCTCGGGTGATGCGGCTGCCTTGGCCTCCAAAAGTGCTGGGATTACAGGCGTGAGCCACCATGCCCAGCAGGGGATGTTTTAAATAGGGCTTCCTGGGTATTATTCCACATTCATAAAAGCTTTTCTTCCCTGAGGAACTCAGAGGCAAGAAGAGGAAATGCTGGTGGGTGGTAGGACTGTGACAGATGCCCCAGGGTGGAGCACTGTTGGAGGGGACAGTTGCTTTGTGGTCCCTCTCCATTGCTAGGTCTGGTAATCCAAGGATAACCAGCATGTTTCAAAATGCAGGTTTTATCATTCAGGCACAGCAAGGCCATAGAGCAGCAGATGACTCCCATAAAAAGATAGATTATTACTCATAGTTCCCAGGAGGACAGTGTACAGCAGATAGATTATTACTCACAGTTCCCAGGAGAACGGTGTATGGCATGCCACACAGGGTCACACAGGGGAGCTCCAGGGTCCATCAGGAGGCAGAAGGGGGCGGAGAATACAGGCAGGAGCCTTTTTGTGATTTCTGTGGAAAGGAATAGATGGGTCATGGCAAGCAGGCTCAGGATTGGTGAGTTTGAACATTTCAGCACCTCTGGGGCATAGAGACTATTCCAAATTGTCTGGGACCTGGCCTTGGGCTGATTAGGGCAGGGGGATAATGACCCAGATTGTGAAAGCCCCACAGAGGAGGTGGTTGGACTCTGGAATGGTTGGTTTGCATATGAAAGATGCGCTCACGGGCCAGCCACTGCTGTCTCAAGGAATTGCTCAGCCCTGCATGGGGAAGTCCCTCCAGAGTTTCTAAGACCCCAGATGTGAAAAGATCAAAAACACATGGTTGATACAGGACGTGGTAACAGCAGCTGCCACTGGCATCAACCAGTTAGGCTTCAAAGGATCTAATAATGGGGTTGGTTTAACAGGATAAGCACACAGTAGAGAAATTAGGAGGCTTGACTTTGTGTCCTTGAAACCCTGTTTCCTCACCTCTGAAAGAAGACAGCCCAACTGAATTATTCTAAGGTGCCTTCCGTCTTCCAGCTTTAACAGTTGGTAATTCTAAAAACTGGCTATTGTGCTACACTTTAGGAGAAGGTTTTATTGCATTCTGGAGGATTAGATAAAATAGAAATAATTAAAAAATTATTATTGTCTCCTCTGTGCCATGTAATTACGTGATTTCCACCTTTCCTTAATAGGTCAGGATGAATCCCAACTTGCACTGCATTTTAGATACTTCATTCACTGCCAGAAGTACAACCCCCTTTTGTTACATAAACTCTCATCTCATTCAGCTCTTCCTGCCCTGATCTTACTCAACCCCTACCCCTGCACTTGCAAAGCTTTTCTATGCCCTTGCAGCAGACCTCAGGATCTTACAGCAGCAAATGGCCACTGTCCCCTTCATCTTGTCTCATCACCGTTTTGCTCCAACTGAAACCTGGCTCTCTTCTGAGGACACTGCTTCCCCTCCAGCCCTCCCAAGTGGAGGCTGACTTTTCTCCTATATCCCTCCTACCAATGGGCCTGCAGGTGGGTGAGGTGTGGTTGCTCTTCAGTGTGCTTCCAGACCATTTCACCACCATCCTCCCTCTAAATCACCAGCTCCCCTGACGTGAATTCTCAGACAACACCAACTGCACTCTGCCTTGCTGCCATCACCCACCAAGCCATTAGTCCCTCTTCCTCACCAGTGTAGATCTTAGCATCTGGCTCAAAGATTTCCCTTCCCACTTTCTGCTGATAGTCACCGGCCATGACCCATCCTCCACAGAATCTCCATCAGACTGGCTCTTATGTTGTTGATCTTCTCCCTCCGATGCCCTTCCCTCTGCCATACCTCTGCTACCCACATCTCTTCCGTATTCTCAGTGGGGCTCAGAGAATGATGGGGAAGAAATTGCTCTGCCTTTAGAAGCTCAGGTGGAAGCATTCCACTGCCTGACCTCCACCTGTTATCTTTCCGCCTCACTTACTTAGCAACACTGCCACACAGAATTCTTCAACCCATCAGGATTTCCAATTCATTGACTCCCCTGCTTTCTCAGAGTCTCTCATCCTTGGTCCCTATTCCCTCCCGTTCCCACCTTGTAAAACCCTGACTGTTTAAACTCAGCTCTCCACACCTGCTCCTGAGCAATTCATCCCTGACGAAGCAAAATCAAACCAGTCTAATGACTAGTCCTACATTTCATTTGTGAACATAAAATTCAGTAGGCCCTTCACATTTTCCTAAACACTTCCCAATTCTCTCAGACTTCTGTTTCCTTCAAATATCTTCTCTACTTTTATGACTTGGCTTCTCATTTCACTGAGAAATTAGTATCAATCATGAGAGAACTAATTCACGTTTTCACTGACAAATCTACCAACATGCCTGCATTTGAAGCTGGATATTCAACCACCTCACCTGTGACTGTGGATAAGCTGTCCTTGCTTTTCTAAGTTCAAACTCCTTCCTCTCACCTTAGGACTTACCTTCTTAAATATTCCCTGTCTCCAACATTATCAATTATTTCCTTTACATGTTCTTAATACCATGTGAGCATATTGTGATATTTGACACACTGAAAAAGAGAAAGGAGCGTGATCCCACAAGTCCTTCCAGCTACAACACATTTTTTTGTATGCACTCCTTTACAGCAAAATTTTTCAAAAGATGTGTGTGTGTGTATATATATATATATGTGTGTGTGTGTGTGTGTGTGTGTATATATATATATATGTGTGTGTGTGTGTGTGTGTGTATATATATATATATATGGGGGGGGTTCTTGACCTCCCATTCTCTCTCTACAAAAAGTTTTATAATGAAATATATATATATATAAATATTTATATATATATATATATATTTGGGTTCTTCACCTCCCATTCTCTCTCTACAAAAAGTTTTATGATGAAATATAACATACATACAATTTAGAGAACAATATTAAAGAGAATACGTGAATTTGTGAATTTGCATCATCCAGCTAAGAAACAGAACATTGGCTATATTTTAAAGTTTAAATCCTTCTCCCTCCTTGTAAGATGTTGCTAGTATCCTAAATGTGACATAATCCTTTCCATGCTTTTCTTCATTGCTTTGTGTGTGTGTGTGTATGGATATATACACATGTGTATGCATATGGATGTATACATATGTGTATGCATACACACATACCTATATGGAGACTTGCATTAAAACTTTATAAAAATGAAATATTATTGTATGCCATATATTCTTCTGTGTTCTATTTCTTCCACTCAGCATTATGTTTGAGATTTATCCAGGTTGAGAGTATAGCAATAGTTTATTTTCACTGTGTACAGTATTCCCTTAGATTAATGTACCACAATGTATCTGTCCATTCCATAGTTGATGAACATTTGGGTTGTTTCCAGTGGTTTTGCTCTCTCCTAAGGACACTGCTTCCCTTTTAACAATGTGGCTATAAGTACTCTTATACGTAATCATGGAGTGGGCAAGCATTCCTCTAAGGTGTATACTTAAGAGCAGAATTGCTAAGTCAAAGAGTATGCACATAATACCAAGCTCCCTCCAAGGTAGTGACAGCCATAGGTGAAAGCTCTTACAGCCTAGCATCCTTCCCACCTCTTAGTATTGATAAATTGTTTAATCCTGGCCAGTCTGGTGGGAGTGTAATAGTATCTCACTGTGGTAAATATTTTGCAGTACTCTGAGTATAAAAAGGTCCTCATCTTTTTATGTTTTTGGTGAGTCATTATGTTTCCTTTTCTCTGCCTATTCATATCTGTTCCTCATTTTTCTACTGGATTTTGTTTTTTCCTTTTTGAAATTATGATTAGGAATTACTTACATATTCTATATCTAGTCCTTTGCTATTGTATGTCTTACAAATGGAGT